ATCATTTAGTGGTTTTTTCACTTTTTTTTTATCATTAAAATATTAAATTGTGTGGTGAAAAATTTTTTACATAAAAATAACATGTCCATTGATTTATGTATATGTATGTATATATGTAAAATTTCAAATAATACAAAAATGGTTCTCTACTATGGTAGCTAATGTCAATAAACATTGGAAATTGTTAGTAAAAATTTAAGAAATTTATTTCAAAGTTTTCCAATTTAATAATCTCATTGTTCTATGTTAATACCCTCACAAATTGCAAAGGGATGAAAGTTTACTGAAACATTTTCTTAAATAGTTCCTTAAAAATTTATCCTTTTGTATTGTAAGTGATGGAAATTTGTCAATTATTCTTAATAAATTCAATGAGCAATTAATTTTCCTTAACAATTCTTTAAACATCATTCAAATTTCATACAAATTGTAATACAAACCAAAAAAATATTTGTTTCCTCACAAATTTTTCACAATTCTTGAATTATTTTTATTTATTTTAATTTTCAATATTAAAATTTATGATTTCATCACGAGTCCATGTAATAATCTGGTCTAGATAGAGAAAAATTTAATTGCATTGACATGAAAATTTCTTTTGTATTCAATAATTTTTTTCGAAATGTCAAAATTTGTATGGAAAAAGTTTTAATTTTCACTCCTGGCGGTTAATTTTAATAATTTCAGATGCCAAATGATATTTAGTTTCCGAAAATATTTTTTTTTAATTTTTGAATTGCATCCATTCCGAGTAAAATGCATTTAAAAATCCCAAACCATATGGGGTACCTTTTTTTACACAAACGGGGAAAATTAAAAACTATCAATTTTTTTTACCAGGAAAAGTTTCGAAAAAAAAATTTTTTGAGTACTAGATTTTTTTTTTGTTTTCTAATACAAAAATCCTACTTTTATTTTCAAATATTTGACAAAATTTTGAAATTTTTAAAATCAAATATGCAGAATTTATTGAAAAATTTTACTATCTTTAAAATATAACTGTTACATGCATTTATCATGGGGATGTTGCGTTAATTTTTCAGGGAGCAACTACACTATTCCGGTAACCATTATGGTCAACTAAATTAAAATTTACCATTTATTTTTTCATTTGCATATGTACAGAAATTATATATGTGTGTTCATATATATTATTTAATAATTTTTCCTCAATACAAGGGAAACTGTCTCGTGATTTAATGGAATTGAAAACAACAAAGAATTAATCCTGAAGTATGTATATCTTAATAATAAAGCTAATTACAATTGAAATTTAATTAATAAGGCTTGGGAAGCGAATTTTAATCAATTGTTTCTTTTTTTTTTGCAGAAGATGTTGTTGCTGGGTTACCTTGACGATTTATTCGAAACCTTGATTTATATTAATTTACATTTAAAAAGCCTGAAGTTAAATTTTATCCCAGTGGATGGAGAATAGATTAAATAAATTATTCAGAAATAAGGCGAAATAATTGTTCTGATTTTACGCCTTTTACATTATTTTCTTGTGATAGAAATCTATTGTTCATATCAACCCAATCAGCATTGATGGCTTCGGAAAACGTTTTTGAACGTCAAATTGGTGATTTTCAGTTCAAAACCCCATGGAACAAAATCGAAAATTTAAAATTTTCGATTTTTTTTAAATTAAATATCAAACGTTTAAAAATGTATTAGTTATTTATAGAATCCATGAATAAGTTTAAAATTTTTATACTTTTAGGTAAATATCAATTTCAAAACTAAATATGTGGTTTGATCGCCCAAAATAATCTTATAAAATAAACTATATTTGGAACTATCTGTGATTCATTGTAAAATAATTTGGTAAGCATGGCTAACTTTTGGTTAAATTAATTTCCGTTTTAGGAGAAAAAATTTAACATCTGCAAAACAACTGATTCAGTATACTATAGCGAATGTTTGGCACCGCGAACGTATTATTATGTCTCCACGACCAAAACAATTAAATGTACTTCGAGTTATTTAAAGAGAAATTTAATGTTTGCGGAATACATTTTGGAAAACTGAGAAGTATGTATTACTATTTTTAGTAATTTAGTCTTGTGTTTTCCTTATTTCCTTATTGTATATGTTCTTTTTTAAATTAAATACATCGAATATAGCTTCAACTTAACCAAATTATTTTATATATGTGGAAACAATTTTTCCATAATAAACATACATATAGTTCAATATGTATAAATAAATCCAAAAACAAAATATTGATTTGACCTGATGACACACATTTTCTAGACATTTAAAAATTATGATAACAAATAAAATATGAACGGAAATTTCAATGAACGCATTTTGTATTCGAATATCCTTTTAATACAATAAATAGGAAATCATCCTTTACTGTAAGATTCCTTACATATTCCTTATAATATTTTAACAATTTCTTTTATTATACCATGTAATTGGGGTTGTAACCTTTTGGTTAGATTTATTGCTTCTTAATGAAATAGTCATATAAAAAAAAATTGTTTTATAAACTTAAGAATAACATTCGGATCAAAAATCTACATCTAAATCGAATTTAAACGAGAAAAAAAGTAGAGTTGACTTTGTCAACTCTGTGATACCCGTACGAATTTGTTGTGCTATGTGCGAATAACTAATGTGCTATAACTAACTATGGGGCAGACTATGACTTTAAGTTGCCGTATTACCATATTAATTTATGCAAAATTTCAGTACTATGTGTTTTTCAAAATACTGGTTGTGCCAAACTACTATTGAAGTTGTATGGCAGCTACCAGAAAGAGCCAAGAAATTTTAGCGAATTTTATCAAGCACATCGGCCCTACTAATATATTCACTTGTGTGAAATCTCAATATCACAGCTTTTATAGTTTCTGAGATATAGCCAAATAACTTTTGAAGTTGTATGGCAGGTACCAGAAGGAGCCAAGTAATTTCAACGACTTTTATGAGACACATTGGCCCTACTAATATATTCGTTCGTGTGAAATTTCAATACCATAGCTTTAATAGTTTCTGAAATATAGTCAAATAACTTTTGAAGTTGTATGGCAGCTACCAGAAGGAGCCAAGTTATTTCAACGACTTTTATCAAGCACATCGGCCCTACTAATATATTCACTTGTATGAAATCTCAATATCACAGCTTTTATAGTTTCTGAGATATAGCCAAATAACTTTTGAAGTTGTATGGCAGGTACCAGAAGGAGCCAAGTGATTTCAACGACTTTTGTGAGACACATTGGCCCTATTAATATATTCATTTGTGTGAAATTTCAATACCACAACTTTTATAGTTTCTGAGATATAGCCAAATAAATTTTGAAGTTGTATGGCAGCTACCCGAACCGGTACCCCGATCACGTCCAATTTGAATAGGGTTCTGGCACTTACTACAATAAATCATTTGTGAAAATTTGGTGAACTTAGCTCAATTATTTTTTGAGTTATCGTTCGGACGGACGGACGGACGGACGGACGGACAGACAAAGCTAAATCAACTCAGAATTTGACGCTGATCAAAAACATACACTTGAGTCTATATCTAACACCGTTATTTCTTAGCGTTACAAACGGTAAGGCAAATTTAGTATACCCTTCGAACATACGTTCGTACGGGTATAAAAATATATGTGCAGATGAGTATGCACGCACGGAGAAAGATTGCATATATGTATACTATATATATATGTATATGGTTTATTTGGAACACGAAACATTTGTTTATGAAATATACTTTGTTTTATGAGTTTTGTACGTGCACTGAATTCTCAAATATTGTAAAATATCAAGAGAATTCAAACAATATACTCAATTATACTCATATGCATGAGTTATTTATTATATTGTTTTTATATTCACATATACCGACATACATACATTCATACTTATATTTATTTTTACTTATATGGCTAATATCATCGTACGCCATCTGTTGAATGGCGTGCGGTTTACTTTTATTTCAATTTTTTATTCTTTATTCTTATAGTATTATGTGGACTTATTATATAATTTGGCAATAAATTTTTTTCCATCTCATTTATTGTATGAAATTAATTTTAATGCACTATAGATTAGAATTTTTGGTAAAATATGATAAAAAGTTGAATTGAAGTAATACGAAAGTATTAAATTATAATTAAAGAATTAATTAAGTAATATAATTATAGAAGAAGGAAATATAATTAGTAGCAATTTAATATTTAGTACAGTTAAAGGAGGAGATTAAGCAAATATAAAAATACTCGTGGGCTTAATTTTGGAGAAAAATATTAGAAAATTCGAAATCTCCAAGTAATTAGATTATATGAGTTGGGATAAGTTTAATTAATAAACTTATACAACCAATTAAACTAATTGTTTGTAAAGCAGGACAATTCATTTAAATAGCTTTGAAACGAAAATTGAAATTTTTAAGAGGGTACAGATGTTACAAAATAATGTTAAGGTCATAGTTCGATTAAAGCTATTTTTATGTACTTATAAAGAAATCTTTTGCATACACCTTGGAGGAACGTTAAATCTAGGAGAAATAAAGAATCTCTATGCATTTTTAGATAATAACGGCTAATTGGGAAATATTTCGAATTAAAGAGGTAAGTCCTAAACTTTCTTTGTTCACGGAATCAAAAGACAATTTTTTAAATTGCTATAGCTCAATTTTTTATTAAAATCTCATATATTTTTAGGAAATTTATTGTTTAAAATTGTGGCAAGAAAGTATAAGACCATGTATTGTTTCCGGAAATAGAGGCATTCCATATGATTTGCAATTTCAAATTGGCTTTTATTATTATGGAATGTGTATGAAAACTAGAATTCCAGTTAATGCAGTTACAATTTGGTAATTTTAATCGTTCAATTTCCCGTATAAAAACTAATTTTTATATTTTTTTAGAACAAGGACCAAATTTTTCATTTTCCTCATCCAACAACAACAAACCAGACAACAAATAGGAAAAAGAAAATAAAATTATTAAAAATCATTGAGAAAAAAAGAAAAAACCAAATACCTTGCATTGCACCAGCCCAACATAACCAAAATAATGCCCATTTAGCGGTACAAAAACGTTGTAAAAATTTTGGTTGAAATTTACCCCAACCATAAATTTTATCTTCGATTAGTCGTTGTTGTTGTTGCTGCTGCTGCTGTGTTTGATTCTGTTGTTGTTGATGTTGTTCATTCTGTTGATTCATTTCATATTCTTCAATATTTAATTGATTATCACTATTTATTGTTGTTGTTATAATATTATTATGATGACTATTATCATTATTATCATTGATATCATCATTATTATCAAAATCATGTTTATTATTATTTGTTAAATTTGATGAAGTAATTTTTAAATTATTATGAACACTTTTTGAAAATTTTTTACCATTAATATTATCAGAAATTATTTGTTGTTGTGGTTGTTTTAATATTGTTGTTGGTCCATTACTTGTTAAAAATTTATTATTATCATTTTTTGATTTTGAAATTGATATTAAAGATGACGGTGGTTGTTGTATTGGTGGTGTTGGTTTCAATTGTATTTGTGGTGATATTACACCAAAATTAGTGTTTTTTGTATCATTCATCATTGGAACTTTACTATGATGGTTACGATTACTTTATTTCTTTTATATTTTTAATTTGATTCTAATTTTTTATTTATTCTGATTTTATTTCTGTAAATTTAGTTTTGTTCAAAAATTCTTTTTAATGGTTCAATATTTGTTCCCTTTGTTTTTTTTTTGTTTGGTAATAGTTAAAGTTATTATTTATCAATTCACATCATTTATTTAACAATTAAATTATATTAGACACACTTTATAAATTTGTCATCCCGCATTTTATGATTTTTTTTGACAACATTTTTCTAGTGCTGTTCTTTTTTACTTTTGTTGAATGAATTAAATATGAGAAAAAAAATTATGAGTGTTTAAGCCGAAAAAAAATTGTTTGTATGGTATTTAAATTTATTTGCTTATGATTAAATAATTGAAATTGCCAAAAGAAAATGAAAAATTAGATAAAAATCAACAACTTTATTCTAAAGTAGATTTTATAAGAGGGGCAGATTATATTTTTTCTGTATCAGTTAAATGTACATATTTTTTTATTTATTCTTGATAGTTATGTAAGGTTATATATAAGTGAGAATAATTGTAATAAAGGATTTGATTTGTGATTGAAATGCATTCAGTGATTCTTATAGCACTGGTAATGATTTAATAACACAAATATCTACATTATTAAAAAATTAGTGAGTAGTGTCTAATCTTCTATAATAAAACTCAAAATATTGGCCAGTGAAAAAGAGATGAAAATTTGAAAATTCAGATGCTGCACAAAAAAAAGAAATAGGTTTGGTCTGCTTCTCTCGTTAGCAATAAAAGTAAATTATTTTGTTAAATAAAACAAAATTTCAATGTCCCAATAATTGAATTTATTGAAAGAAAATCTAGGAAATTAATTAGAAATTACTATTTAGAAACTAGGCGAGTTTTAAGAAGGCTCAGCTGCTGCAATTATTGTATAAGAGTTTCTTATTAAATACTTTAAGAATATGAAAAATTGATCGAAAATATTATAGATTTGTAATTGAAAATCATTCTGTAATTCATTGTTTTAGAGAAAATTGTAAAAATATAAAAAGATTGAAATGAAAATTTAGTTTAAAAAGTTTTAGTTAAAACTTTGAAGTTTGAAAGGTTTTAATTTGTTTTTTACTTTTATTTTTAACTAGAACAATTTATTCTATGAAGTATAAAGGTTGATAATTTTTAATACTCTTTGTATATTTAACCCTATTTTAAAATATTAAAAAAAAAAGCTTGAAAATATCATAAAACTACATGGCAGTCTTAATTACTTTCATATTTATTATTAAGTATAATAAAAAATAATTAAATTATAACTTTAGCGTTTATAATTAAATTTAAAATCATTTATAAAGATTTACTATAGCCTAGCTATATCTTTAGAAATCTCGAAATATTTATATTTCGATAAACAACATGACAAAGAATGTTTCTTTGAAAAAAAGTTGTAATTTTTATTAAATTTGCAATCATTAAGTAAATTAAAAATATGTGCTAAGCATACGCAGTGAATCATTTAATTCATTGATTCTGATTTAATTATAATACTTGATAAATTTTTTTTTTATTGCCGTTAACTTAATTTTAAAGCTTTCATCTACATTTTTTATCTACAACTGTGTGTATAAATTTAAATTAAATCTAGTAATCGTAAAGCTTTTAAACAGACAGTATTCAACTTATAATATATGTGAAATTTTGAGAAATTTGAGAAATTTTGAGAAATCACATTTACTTGATCTTCAGCATTTGGGTTTGGAAGGTACATACAATTTTGAACATAAGATTAGATATTAGACTTAGGCAAGTGAATCAGATAACTATATCTTATTGTGCCATTGTAATCCCGAAATCTCGCGGAAGTATTGTTAAAATGTTAAATTAATTATCAACTTGCATCCCTCAACTAAACTTCTGTTCCGAACTTGTTTTTTTCTATTGATTTTAGTTATAAAAGCTCAGATTTGTTAAAATATATTTGATTATTAAATTTGAATCTCCGACATTATGTCAACTATTATATAGTCATTTATTATAGAACTTCATATTTTCCTGATCCAAAATCCTGGCATAATTTTTCACAATTTCATTGAGAAAAGCATTTATCAGAGATGCAAATGCAAAAACTTATACACCACAAAATTGCGATCTAAGATTTTAAAAAATTTACAAAACGTGATTTTATTCTCTGGATTCTTAGAGTATTTAAAATTTATATTTACAATGAAAAGCTTTTTTTTTTACTTGTAAAACCGGATAAATAAAAATTTACAATAATTTGTTTAAGTAATGAATAATTATTTTTAAGTTGTTGTTCTTATAATTCTTGTAGTTGTACATCGTAAGATATGTACAATTATAATAATATTTTCATGGCAAATATGAACAAATTAAAATTTTCTGTAAATTCAATTTAATTAAATAGAAAAATTATAATTTATAATAACAGGTGCTTCCAGTATTTTTATTCTATTGGGAAAAAAAAATATTTTTTATTATTATTATTACTTTTGTGGGATAATAAAATGAAAATGCGAAAACGTGACAAGATATTAGCCCCTGTGTCGAACATAAACTAAGACTGTACTAAATTTTACAGAAAACTGTTAGAAGAATAGATCTTACATGAAAACTGTTAATAAATTTAAAATAAACATTGAGCTATTTGTGAGATTTTGGCATTCTACATAAATATTAGTTTATTTACGGATTGGAATCAATATTTTTTTTTAAATAATTTTTCTTTCCAAATCCTAAATAACAACTAACTAAATTTTTAATTAGACAGTTAAAATTCGGTGAAAAATTGTAATTGGAGTAAGATAAATTTTATATTCTATAATTAACTTTGCAAAATTATTATTGTTATTAAAAAAACTTGTTCAAATGAAAATAAAATTATTAATTTGTAAAATTTAATATGTAAATAAAATTATTTTAATATTTTTTAAAATCAAATGCAAGTTATCAAATTTCATATTGATAGATGAAAACCACAAAATTCTATATATTTTGCAGAATATTTAATATTGCATACTGTTCACAACCACTTTATTAAAATTACGATATGTATATGGTTTGCAATGAATATAATTTAAAATTATTATTATATTATGCATGCATAAATTAAATATTCTTAAAATTGAGAACAAATAATATACAAATTAAAAATTACTAAAAAGTTTAAATATCAATAAAAATTTAAAATATTAAAAAATCTGTAATTTTAGTTTATAAACTCAAGTTGTTATCATTATTGTAATAGGTTATAAACTTAAAGGTTACATTTAATTTAAAAAAAAAATTTGTTTTCAACTTTAATTAAAATTATCAATGCACATTTTTATGATTGGATTCAATAATTTTTAATATTTTTTCATTATTTTTAATTAAATTTTGTCTTATCAGATCGGGCTCTTCTTGTATTTATGTTTATAAATTTAAAACCATAATAATTAATTAAAATAATTTTAAAATTAAATTCAATATTATTATATAAATTACATGTTATTTATTAATAAATAATTTTCAAATTATTTAATTTCAGAAATTTATTAATATTATTTGAGAGATCCTCAGAAGGCAGACGTCTTAACGGTACGAAATAATAATCGTAACTGATTAAAAATTTTTTTTTAAATAAAACGGAATATTATCATCGCTTGTTTGTAAGAAAATATTCACCTCAATTCTATTATATTTTTTGTTTTGTTATTATTATTTTTCAAACAGAAATTCAACACACAACTTGTATTTGATTTATTTATTGTGTGTGTTTATTTTCTGGTACATAGTTTTAGAGTTTTGATTTCATTTGTTTTGTGTTTGTATTAGTTATACACTTGAATGCAAATATACATACAGAAATGTGAACACACATTGGATTAAATCCTTCAAATTTTTATGAAAATCAAAACAAAACAATCAAAACCATGCTGTACTTTATTATTTGTTATAAGATGAGGAATTTTTCATTCATAAAAATAAAAGAAATTTACGGAATTTTTGTTGTTTATCATTATTATATGAAAAAGGTGATTAAAAAAGGTTTGTTTATATTTTTATTTAGTTTTATTAAAAAGAGTGGAAAGGTGGGAATTTATGGCACTATTTTCTTATAAAATTTTATCACTAGCAAAGAAAAATGACAGCGAATATAGGAACAGGGGATAGATAATATATAGGGATTAATTTAAAAAAAAAAAAAAACAAATTTCATCTGTAAATATTTAAAAAAAAAGAAAACCATTTATTTCTTTAGAGAAAATTTCAGCTCCTTTCCTTTTTAGTAAGACTCTAATTCTCTTTAAAAATTATTTACGGAAATTTTGTGTAAGCTTGTAGTGCCTCCTGTATTGCAGTATTAGCAGCTGGGCAAATTCTGAATTTGCAATTTTTTGAGAGTGTAGTACAACGCTTTTGCAAATAACGTTTCCGATTATTAGCTAAAATAAAATAATATATTATATGTATGTATATATATAATAATTTGGATATTTTTTTTAAATAAATAATGAATGAAGAGTCATTATTGTGCCTATTATTATAATATTATTGTGTCATAACATTATCGTTATCTCTACCTTTCATGAAACCGAATTAAATTTTAACTCCGTTAACACCATAAAAAATAATAAACTTCGTCTCAGGTGCGTGTTTTTTTTTTCATCAAAAATTATAAATTAATTTTTTGCCCTTACTTCATTTTTTCTAAATTTTGTTTCTCGAATAGACCTTATATTCTTTCTTAAAAACATAGACATTTCTTTTTATATTATTGCCGAAAACTGCTTTCCTCTTAACATTGAATGAAATTCTATTGAAAATACGCATGCCTTGGAAAGTTATGTAACAAGTAATATGGTAATAAAATCTTTTGTTTTTTATATTTGTCATGCCGTATTGTTTTTAAAATGTAAAAGCAAGGGAATTGATGGAAAGTACATATACATAATTCAACCCCTCGAAGGATAATCAAAACAAAATTATAAAAATATTCTCACATATTTAAATTTTTTCATTTGGAAAGGTTTAAATTAAATTACTGTTTATTTTATCAGTGAAAATTGTAATTTTATAAATTTAACAAAAAACAGATTTTTGTAACAAAAATTTAACATTTTATTAATATTTTTCATTATTTTTAAAAATTGTCAACAAGTGAATGATTAACACTTGAACTAAAATTATTAAAAACTAATTAAATTTCTTCTATAACCATTAACTTTCTCCAAGCGGCCAATAGATTTCATAAATATGCAATGGAGGACTTGCATAGAATCTGAAATTCTTTAAAACTCTATTTTATATGAATTCCCTTGGTTTTTTTTGACAATTTTTTTGAAAATATTATAAATAATAATAAATACTTGTAGAAGCAAACAAAAATTAAACAAAAATCCAAAAATATTCTGGAAGAATTTCCGTTCATTTATCTCAACAAAATAAAATTTCACATAAAATTCATTTAAAATTTTTCATCTTTTTTGTTAATTGCACGGACGCGACACTTTTATTTTTAGTAAACCTCATATACACACAATATAATGTGCGTTATATGGTCAACAATGTCTTATGACTGTGATACATTTACTTAGAGAGTAAATCTTTCAATATTCACAACATTCCCAATATTACTTAATTGCGGGTATAATGAAATTTTCAGCTCGTTTATAATATTATACTATAAAGTACATGAATGTAAGATAGAAGGAACTGTAGATTTTCGAAATACATTATACATTAGTCCAAATTTTAGAAATTTATTTATTAATGTTAAATTCTATTTACTTAATATTGTTCTCCCATTGTAACCTGGTCTTCGAATTTCTCCTTAAAACTGGCTTATAATAAGATTATAAGCTGGTACTCTTAATTTAATCCGATGTAGCATTTATTGTTTTATTATAATTAATCATTAGGAAATTGTTAAAATAATCACTGACTGAAAACGAATGAGAATTTTTACGTAATATAAAATTAAATTTATTTCTTTCATATTTGGTATTCGAATAATGGCAATCGATTGACGACAATGTACGACGCGTTTCTGACTGACATTAAAGTAAATCAAGAAAAATGTTGACTTTTTCGATTCAAATAGCATTTGTACCTAAAATCAATTATTGGCTTAATATTTATAGCACACATACCTCAAAGTATGTTGGAATAAATCTTTAATTTTTGTTCTTTTGCTTTTAATTTTTTTGTTTGTAAATCTAGAAATAAAATGCATTGGTGAAATTTATTTGATTTTGGTGCCGGTGTGAAATAATTTTTATTTGTTTTTTGTTTAAGGTTATCTTTTCTTTTTTTAAACCCTAGAACGTGAGTTTTAATAAAATTTTTAATTTTTATCGCGCGACTCAAATATATATAGTTCATATATGTTAAAAAAAAACACTTTTGAAATTTATAATTAAAAACACTTTTTTATTAGACTGATTTATTTTATAACACAACTGTTCGATTTCTTAGATTAATTATGACTAAATTTACAAAGCTTTTCTTATAACTAAGTTTTATTATTATTAAAAGTAAATTTGCTGGTGTCAACAAAACGTGTCTACCTTTATAATGCGACGGTTTTGTTGATAACAGGAAATTAATATAACTTTCATAATTATTTCGAAATTGGATACTTGCATTGATTTTATAAGTCTGTGAGAATTTTTTAATAAAATTTTATGTAAGAATTTTAAATAACAGGAAGTGTTGCGTCATTAGCGGTATTATTGTACGTAACTTCTCCCCCGTTAAGATTAGAATTCTCCTGAATTCTATTAATATTAAATTTTTTCTTAAATTTTTTGCATAATGCAACTATTCCAAACGAAATTATTATTGACAGTATTATAATTGTTACAATAATTAAAATATAAGAAACATTTTTATGATAATGTAAAATTTTTATTTTCTCTACATTTTTAAAATTTTCTACAACAATTTCATCAAATGTTATTTGAGTTTTAAAGTTTTTAAAGTTTTCGTTATTTTCATTTATTGGATAATAGAATCTTTCTTTTAAAATAGGTTTTACATTTGAAAAATAATGATCTAATATTTTTAATGAACAATTGTTAAAGTGAATAAGTACATTTTTATTTAAAGTCAAATTCCTATTGTCACAAGTGTGATTCAATTTAATATTTCTTGCATTCTTTATTACAATAGTTTCCTCATCAATCTCAATTATTTCTGTAATATTATTATATATAAGTTTACAATTATTTTTTAAAGTACAGTGTTTGCTCAATTTTAACTCATTTAATGTTTTTGAGTCCTCATATTGATAATTTAAACTACCATACTCAAAAATGGTTTCTTGAACATAATCAATTTCTTTAAAAAATTTATTAGGTAAAGGGATTATTAATTTTAACTGAACTTTTTTAATTTTATTAGGAATTTTTAAAGCAAGTAACAATGAATTTTCTTGAAATTTAGTTACTCCGAATTTAATGTATTGCAATTTATAGAAATCTATATCGTAATTTTGGATTTCCTCATTTGTTAGTATATTAGGATGAAATATGCCATGTCTGGCTGAAGCTAAATTATCCTGAATTTGATTTATTTTTTCTTTTAGAAACTGAATTTTAAATTTTAATTCTATGTAAAAATTTTGTTGCATTGCGGGTTCTTCTATTTTATTTAGATTCTCTAATATTAAAGCACGGTCCTTTTCTATAGCTTGTTTTAACTGACTAAATGCTCTATTAAAGTGGTCATTTATTTTAACTTGTTTTTCATTATTATGAATTAACCTATTATTGTTGTGTGTTATGAATTCTAAATGTTTTTCTATATTCTGTCGGTCTGTGTCGTCCATTGTTCCAAAAAGCCAATTCGACGTAACTCCTACAGCATTTATTAATCCTCGTTTTGTTCTTTTATCTTTAGGTGTAATAGTATTAATTTTTATAATAAGTTGTGTTATTTCTGATTGTAATATTGTTCTGTACTGTGAATTTAAATTTTCTATTATTGTAGAGATGTTGTGTAAAATGTCATAAATTTCTTGTGTATTGATAATATGTATAATGATGTCGGTTTTTATGACCAAATCTGATTTGTCTAAGTTTATGTTTACAAAGCCTGTTTCAGCTGTAATGCTATTAACTTCTAGTGAAGCTAAACTAGATGTTGTCAGAAGTATGACCATCGTCAATATTTTCCAAACCTGAAAATTTGGGAGGTCGTTTAATGTTGGATATATGTATATTATCAAGTTTAAATTTTTTGAATTTCGGCTGTTCTTTATGCCTAACCGCTTTATAGTTTTTTATGAAACCCGTAGACCTGGTTTCTTCATAATTTTCTCTATTTTCATTTAATTTAGTTATCTTTTTGAATTTTACAGTTTCTAAATTAGTTTTAACTTTTTCAAAATCCACTTTATGATTATGTACCTCGCTTGGAGTAAACTTAATTGTAGAATGATATCGTTCATTGTAAATTCTAATGGCTTGTTGTATTAACCTTTTAACACATTTATCTTTGTTTTGAACCCTAAGTATCCTAAATATTTCTGCGATAGAATTGTGGAATCGTTCAATGTCGCCGTTACCAGTGTGACTATTTGGTTTAGTAAGATGAAGGTCTAT